AGTGTTATCAGCACCGCACTCACCCGAGTGAGCCATGGGCCGGCCCTTTTACTTAGCTTTCTGCCTCTGTACTTGTGCCTTCAACACTTTCACGATTCCTCCTCAGTAAGGAATGCACGCTTGATCCTGTCACGGGCACATTTAGCACACATGAAACCACCACAGGCCCTGTCTTGAGCCTTCCTGAAGCCACATTCTCCCATGTCTTGGCCTCTGGACTTGCTGCCCCCACTACCTGGAGTCCCCTCTGCCCTCTGATCATCTGCTCCACTCCCTACACCCTGCAAATCTTGGCCAGGTGGCTCCTCAGACTCTGAGAGCCCTAGACTGGAACTGGGCCCCTCCTCGTGCACTCACAGGGCCCTTTGAATGTCACAGTGTTCAATGGGAGGTCTGCGATCCTTTGTGGCTGGTTCAGTGGTGTCTTCCCAGTGCCCAGCACAGTACCTTCCTGGAGTGGCGAGATGCTCTGTTATGGGTGTGCTGTGTCCCTCCCCAAATCCATATGTTGAAGTCCTAAGCCCAGTACCTCAGAATGTGATTATATTTGGAGACAGGGTCTTTAAAGAGGTCATTAAGGTAAAATGGAGTGATTAGGGTGGCCCTAACCCACTATGACTGGTGGCATTATAAGAGGAAATTTGGACACAAACACACACACAGAGAAGACGGCTGTGTGCAAGTGAAGGAGAGAGGCCTCAGAAGGGACCAACCCTGCTGACACCTTGATCTCGGACTGCTAGCCTCCAGACCTGTGAGAAAACAAGTGTCAGTGGTTTAAGCTGCCCGCTCTGTGATACTCTGTTAAGACAGCCCTAGCAGACTAATATATAAAGTAGTCCTCCCTCATCTATGGGGGATACACTGCAAGACCCCCAGCAGATGCCTGAAATCACACAGTATCAAATCCTATATATACTATGTTTTTTCCTAGACGTACATACCTATGATAAAGCTTAATTTATACATTAGGCCCAGTAAGAGATGAACAATTACCACTAATAAAATAGAACAACTAGAACAATATGCCAGCATCACTATTTTTGTGCTTTGGGTCCATTATGAAGTAAAATAAGGGTCACGGCACTGTGGTACCATGACAGTCAATCTGACGGCTACTAAATAACTAATGGGCAGTATAGCATGATACACTGGGCAGATATAGCATGGATCTGCTGGACAAAGGGATAATTCACATACCCAGCTGGAAGTGGGACAGCTCAAGATTTTGTTGCACTACTCAGAACAGAGCGCAATTTAAAACTTATGAATTGTTTATTTCTGGAATTATGTTTAATATTTTTTGGCTGCAGTTGACTTGCAGGTCACTGAAACAACAGAAAGTAACACTGCGGATAAGGGGGGACTACTATACTCCATAAATAACACCCCCACAATTCCCTGGGCTTCTGCCATCACTGCATGTCATGTAAAGTGCCCCATTAAGAGCCACCCCTTTTCTATCCATTAAAATTCCACTGTTCCAGTCAAGGTGGGGTCAAGTGTATGGGGAGACTGGGTCTCTCCCCCCCAGATATTCCATTCTCTTTGCCAGGGACTTTGAGCATGGGGAAGTGTCCTGCTTCCAGTTAAGGAGTGACAGAGAAGTTGCTGGGGAATGAGGCCTTTGGAGGTTGGGATGTGATGTCTGGAGCTATGGCAACCATTTTGAAACTATGAGGCAAAACCACCAAAGTTTGCAAAATGGAAGATGGGTAAAAGATGGTGTCTTTGATGTTGCTGAGGCACCTGACTTCCAAACTTCAGCCTGTCCTGCTGCTAGCTGGGCTATCGGGGAAAGAAGTGCTCACCTATGTTGCTGGTGGGGTGCCATTTGGTACAAGCCTCTGTGGAGGGGGATGTGGCAACATCTCTCCAAATGACAAACACAGATCCTGTGACCCAGCAAGTGCACTTCTAGGAATTTAGCCCACAAATCTGTGCACAAAAAATGAGGCACACTCGTCATTCCTTGCTGGGTCATGTTTAATAGAAGGTTTGGCAACAACGCGATGAGTGACTCTTCTGCTGTAAATGGAATGAGAGAGGGCTTTAGACACCCATTTGGAATTACCTCCTAGATATAATTGGTAAAGAGTAACGTGCACTATCTAGGGTATAGTCACGTGTCACTTAAGGACGGGATATGTTCTGAGAAATGCGTCGTTAGGTAGTTTTGTCGTGCAAACATCACAGGGTGTACTTACACCCCCAGGTGGTACAGCCTAGTCCACACCTGGGCTCTACAGCACAGTCTGTTGCTCCTACATTAGTAATGCATTGTACTACATTAAGACAGGTACGACATCACTAGCAACAGGAGCTTTTCAGCTCCATTATAATCATATGGTACCACCATCATATGTGGTCTGTCATTGACCAAGATATCATTACACATCACATGACTGTGGTTTGCTTCCATTTGTGTAAAAAAAAAAAATTCAGGGCTGGCCTATGGCTCACTTGGGAAAGTGTGGTGCTGATAACACCAAGGCTGCAGGTTCGGATCCTACACAGGGATGGCCGGTTAGCTCACTTGGGAGAGCGTGGTGCTGACAACACCAAGTCAAGGGTTAAGATCCCCTTACCGGTCATCTTAAAAAAAAAAAAAAGAAAGAGTGTATCTGTGCATTTGTGTACTATTTATGTGTATCTCTGAAAGGACCGAGAAGGTACCTGTAAAGCCACCAGTGGGCTGGGTGGGGCAGGGTGGGAGGCAGGGTTCTCAATGTGCTCCTTTCTAATTTTGTATCATACAAATGTCATGTCCCTCAGTATCCGTGGGGATTGGTTCCAGGACCCCAATGGATACCAAAACCCGGGATGCTCAAGTCCTTGATATAAAATGGTATAGTATTTGCATATAACCTACACACAACCTTCCGTATACTTTCAATCATCTCTAGATTACTTATGATGCCCAATGCAATGTAACCAGTTATTACAATGTATTGTTTTTCCCTTTTTGTCTTTTTTTTTTTCGTGAGCGGCAACGGGATCGCAACCCTCGGTGTCGCGCCCGCACCGCGCTCAACCAGTGAGCGGACCGGTCTCTATATGGGATCCGAACCCTCAGCGGGAGCACCGCCGTGCTCCCAAGCGCCGCACTCTACCGAGTGCCCCACCGGGCCGGCCCACAATGTATTGTTTTTAAAATGTGTATTATTTAATTGTTGTATTGTTATTTTTAATCGTTATCTTTTTTCCTCCCTGAATATTTTCAATCCGTTGGCCATAGATGTGGATACAGATAGCTGACTGTATTTTAAAAACCAATTTCAAAAAAATAATAATAATAAAAATAAAAATAAAAATAAAATCTCGCAGCCTTAGAATACCAATGTCATGGGTTAGGATCCCTGTACCAGCCAGCCACCAAAAAAATAAAGTAAAAAAATAAGTAAATAAAAATAAAAATAAAAGCAAGTCTATCACCAATGCCTACTCTGTTTAGGTTCCAAAAGGCAGCAGCTGGGTCCTGCTGCGGAGCACACTCCCACTGGCCTCTGCCCCAAAGTGCGACACCTAGGCTTGGTTGTCCTTAAACAACTTTAATCGCTGGAGGCGGGGTGGGGGGCAGGTAAGGGAGAGGACAGGATGGCCCCTAGAGGGTGGTGGCTGACTCCAAGCCCCGCTCCTGGAAGTACCGGTGGGGGAGGTGGGGGCGGGTTCGGGGGCCTTCTTTGAGGAAGTAAGATGTGATCCTCCCGAGTCCCTCCTGATCTCCTGTTGGCGAGTCCTCCCTGTGGGAGACAGGCAGTGACACTGACCACTTCCGGAGGGAGCAGCCCTCCCAGGCAGGGCCGACCCCTGGCCTCCCTCCCCCGCCACAGCACCCTTGGGACACCCACCACATAACGTCTTCTGCCTCCTTCTCCAGGATGGTCTGGGCTGTGCGCCAACTGAACCGGACAAACTGGGGGAAGCCAAATACAGGCTCCACGTGCTTCTTCAGCCATGCTTTTGTCTTGGGATCTGCGGTGGGGTGGGGGAGGGCCACGGTGACAGCCCCTGAGCCACGCCATAGCATCCAAGCTCCTCGCCACTCATCTGAGGGCTCTGCCTGAGTACCTGAGGCACCTTCCCGCCTCAGGGCCTTTGCATAGGCCGGTCCCTCCCACTCTGCGCCTGGCCAAGGGTTGCTCAAGATGCAGTTTAGGGAGACTGCCTCTGGGACATCTCCTTCACCCACAAGGACAACGTTAAAGCACCCAACTGCCAGCCCCTCCCTGGGCCTCAGAAAGACCAGAAGTTTCCTTGAACCAAGCCACTGAATCTTCAAATCTGCCCTTGTTTGTGTGTGCGTGTGGTTTGGAGGGGTGCATGATCATTCCTACTTTACAGACAAGGAGACTGAGCCTCCTGGTGGGGCGAAAACAATGGATCTAAGTGGAGACCACCAGACATGAGTCGATGCCCCTCATTCCTGTCCCCTTCCCCCTAACAAATGGATAGATGCCCACCTTGGGTCTTAGTCCCTCACTGGGGCTCCAGAGAGACAATAAAGAGGGAGGGAGGAAGAGAGGAGGGAAGCTACCGGCTAGAATTCAGCTCTGTCATTCACTGGCCATGTGGCCGTGAGGAAGTGACATCACTATCTGGGACTTAGCCTCCTTCTGCTGTGGAGCAGGGTGACCAGAACAATTTAGAAAACCTCAGAAGCGTGCTCAGCCCTGGCCATGTCAATGTAATTACCACGGTGGCTGTCTGAGGGCAGCTCTAGAGGCCAGACTGCCACCTATCTGCTCACCATTGGGGTAGCCCGAGCCGTAATCGGCATCCAAGTCTGGCAGTTTTTCCACAAACCGCCAGTTCTTTACAGCTTGGTCGCGGGCCACCTGTGGGCAGGAAAGGCACTTAGAATCTCCCTCCCCGGGGCCGGCCTGTGGCTCACTCGGTAGAGTGCGGTGCTGATAACACCAAGGCCATGGGT